TTGTAGGAGCAACTATTGGACGAGACCAAGAATTAACCTCCACGGACGTTGTCCCTGCAGTTTAATTGCAAGTATGGTTAGGTTATTACGTCTTAAAGTCCTGAACAGCATTGTCCGTGTCCTGAGTCTACTTGTAAGTAATTTATTTATTGTAAACTATTGTTCACTGGTGGAATGAATGCGAATTTGATTGGTTAACTTGAAAGGAAAAAAGAAAATTCTTATTTTCACAAATTAAAAAATAATCTGTATTTAATTTTCGATGCAGATGTGAATTCAAAATATTTTCTAACATATCGATATAATATAAAAATTTTTTTATTTCTCATTAATATGCGTAAGCTAATTACGATTTATAACGATAGTTTAATTTATAAATGTAATTTCATATTCGAGTATACAAACAAGCTAGACATACTATAGTTTCAAAAATATTTCAATTTTGAATGATTATTTTAATGTATAACTTCATGAAAATGAAATAATTTTTGATTTTGAATATTCAAACTATAGCTTATCTACTGCTATGTAGCGTGTAGTGTCAGGACTGTCAACGAAGCGTCTGAAATGGAGATAGGCGGTCCTAACGAAGAACCCCTCTTGCCTCTGTGCCGTCCTACCGTACTTCTTTCCACCAGTAAACAGAAGTTTTACAAAGTTGCGTTCGAGAGAAGCGAGCCTATAAGAACGTTCGATTTGCACCGTGAATTCATTCCGTTCGTTACTGGAATCGTTATTTTTTGCCAAACGCTTGTTATTTGTTTGCACGACTTTGACAAGGTGAAAGAGCTCATTTTAAAAACATCGCCCAACATTAACCCAAAGTAGAAAGTAATAACATAATAATTAAAAATTTCGTATAAAGTTAGTTTAAGTAATTACTCGAGTAACATTTATTTGCTTTTTATTTGACACTACAATTATTTACAATTTTATTATTATTAAGTTTCGAACAATTATCGAAGCAAGTTTATTAACTTCAAGAAAATAATAATACGATTCTCGCTTTACCTTAAATCGTTAAATATTGATATTTCCCTTCCCTCCTTCTTTTAACCAGGAAAAAAATATTCTGCAATTAACAAGAAGAATTTTTCTGAATTTATACAAGCAGAGGAAAATTTCTTTAAAACAGGAAACTGTATAAATTAAGGTACACACATCTCTTGATTTACTTCGATTTCGAGTAAACACAAGCCTGTAAAGTTTTGCATCGATATTAATGGAATAAAAGTAAAGTGGAATCGAGAGAAAGAGTCGATTTTACGAAATTAATCGATAAACCTACCCATAAGAGCGACTGTGATAGTCCGTTGACCCGCGGTGAACCACAATACTAGCCAGCTGACTAACCTTCCACCAAGCCAATATTAATTTCATTAATTATGCACCACCGTGTTACGATATTAGCGCTGGCCATTTCGCTTTCGAGCATAATTTCCTCGAGAACCGACGGTAATTATCGCGAGAACCCTTCGGTGAGAGGGCGACAAAGTTCGTTCGTTCGTGGTCGTTGATGCTGGATTCGAAAATAAATGTGGATTTTATCGAGCGTTGTTGTCAATTTTATAGATTGCAAAAAATAGAAGAAAATCGTTAAAATTTTCGCGCTATTAATTATTAATCGATAAAAAATCGAGAAACAAAGTTAAAAACGATAATCCTGGATATATATAATTTATTTTTCGAAAATGAAGAAAAATAATCGCACGAAAGTTAAATATTTCGCAAGAAAAATAAATAAATGTTTGAAAGATTTCCAGTTTCGCGAATTTAAAAATTTCCATTTCCATCTTCGCGTAAATCCATGGATCGCCAAGAAGAATATTATCCATGAAAGGAAAGGACTTGTTTTAAAATGCATGGCTTAAAATTACGAGCCGAGCTTGTTGCCGTGTCAACGTGTAAACTAACTTGTTCACCGTCTATCCACGAATTTAACGTTCAGACTTTCGGACTTGGCTTGGGAAAGCTAAATTTTGGATTAAGCCGTTCGATTAATTTTTAATCTATTCCGTTCTTCCTCCGTCAAACGCAATTTCTCGTATACTATGTATATTTTCAAATAGTTAGTTTTTAGAATTGTTAATTTTTTTCTTAAAAGAAATTAATAGAAATTAAAGGTAGGATGACAGAAATGTTAACCGATATCGACTGTCCGAGAGAAAAACTGTTTTTTCCAACTATTTAAGTCTGTTCGGATAGAATTTATTCCAAAACTTTGCTGCGTTTTACGTTTGCTCGATAAACACATCCCCCTTCTCGGCTACCCGAACTTTATTATTCATACGGAAAAAACATTTTTGCGGAAACAGAAAAAAAAAAAAAACGAATTCATCCAAATAATACGTGGAAAAAATATGTGCAAAAATATTCAGGATATCGTTGGATTAAAAAATAAAATATAAGAATTAATTTCTATATACGTAGAGAGGAAAATAAATTTTTTTTATTTCTATTTTTTCTTAATTGAAGAAAAATTAAAGAAAAAAGAAAAAAACGAGAATTTAATGTTTCCCTCGTCGAGTGGATATTTTTCGTTTAAACCAGAGATTAATATTTCCCCGTATATTCGCATGTCTGACCGATCAAAGAAACCGAAGAAACCGGATTTTAAGATTTTATAAATTAAAATCTCCATCTCACGTTTCGAATATATTTAGGAATTAAATATAAAAAATCTCATTTTCCAATTTTATATCTTTCGCATATAGATAGACAAAATTTAATAGTCTAAGTTAACAATTAAGTTACTTCGATAATTTATTATTCATGGTTAGAAAGATCAACTGTAATAAGTTACGAATAAATGTTCGAATATTTTAATAAATAAATATACAATTTTTTTCGAAATGACGAAGGACTGCGATTTCCTCGATAAATCGTTGGATCATAGCACGGATAAATAAGGGAAATTCGTAGCTGTGCTTCAGTTCATTGCCTATGGATGTGAGTCAAGATTGAAGTACACGCGTTACGAGAGGATAATTCCAACGTTCCATCGGCACGAATGCCTTTGGAACTGTTGGTTATGTCGTTTCCGGTGGAAATGGCAGCAGTATGTACGTACAAGTTACCGAGATACTGTAGTATTACAGCGTTCAATCTAGAGCGCGATCTAGAGAACGATATGCGTCGCTTCGTTTTCGTCCATTGCTTCACTTATCCCAATATCAAATTATTGCGGCGCACAATATCCAAAGAAGATGAAAATTCGTCCCTTATTAGCGATTTCATAATCGAATTGAGAAATGTAATGTAGAATTTAAAAATTCTCGGAGTGCAAATTATAAAGAAATCGAACGATTACCGATTGAACGACATTGCGATTTATTTAATATATATCATTCATTATTTTTGACACTTGTGATGTAATCTTATAATTTCGACGTTAAAAAGATTTTAAGACTTCGTACCTTCTCTTTCGTCACGTCTTTAGTTGTATCCGCGGAAGAAGAAGAATAGAAACTTCTTTCACAAGTTGCCACTTCGCGCGTTCCAACTTTTTGGAGGAAGCCATATTGACCGAGGTCATTTCGCATCGAAGCTTGCGCAGTAAAGTAAACACGCGAGAGATCATGTGCCATCTGCTGGCATCCAAATGAACAAAATTCTATTTCTTCAAAAATAGCAATAATTGTTTTACATAGTATCGCAAACCTTGTCTAGCAATTCGTTACAGGATTAGCAATAGTTCTATATAACCTGTAAATTAATTAGAATTATTTTTATCTTTTTTCTCGTTTAATTTCAAACTTTTTCGCTTCTATCAAAAAATATCATGGCATACCTGTGCTCCGTCGCGCAAGCAGAATAAACGAAAAGGAGAAACACCTTTTGTTCCTTTTTCGAGTTAAAAGCCGATGTGTAGCAGGATGGCGCTAGTGGCGAGTAGTACAACGCGTTAACTAAAATTGTCGTGGACATTAATTATCGGGCATAACGCAGGTGGTCAGAAAACGACATTAAAATTTCGTCGACGTTAATTACATTGGTGTCGGATGAATACGAGCGCATTAATGCACTTGACGTGTAATTTTATCAACGATAGCTACACTCACCTTGCCCTTTTGCCGTGATGTTGCTTAACGAGATTGAATTATTGCAAGGGGCTGTGATTCCAATTAGTCAGTCATATGCGATTCTTTCTTATTGTCCTTTCATCGCAATTTCGAAGCTGAAAAAAAATTGAGAAGAGAATTTATTCTTTTATTTATAATTTACTTATTTTTATCCTAATAATACATGATCGTGGAAAGAAGATAGATTTCAATTTCCTCGTTTTAGGAATAAATTGTCTTCCATTCTCTATTATATACCTGCCTGTTATTGTATTTCCATTTTTTTTTGAAGTTTTCATGTCGCGCCTAATAAAATAGTTTTCAAATATTCGAAATTTCCAACATTGCTTCTCTTATTTTATTTTTCTTCCTTTTTTTTTTTTTTTTCATTTGAATGATCGCGAACACGGTTTGCTCCTTAACGACGTAATTATCCCGAGCATAATTTCCAACGAGCGCAATTACATTTCTATCGGATCGGAGGATCGTCGATTATTATTGGCGAAATAATAACGCAGGTTGTTGATCGGCCTAGCTGAAAATAGTATTGCCATTCTTATTATTTGTTATGTAAATTTATTATTATTTATTATGTAACTTTTGTACATTTTTTAAACATTATGGTGAAAAATCAATATTCGAAATTAAATAAAGCATCACGTATATTATTTTTAAACTATATATAAAAATAGTTTATTTTTACGTTATAATTTTTGTTTATCTGATGTCATAAAAAATAACTTATCGGACAAAATTTTGAACTTTAAATCGATATATCTATTATAATAACTATTCGGTTATAAGTACTCGTATCTTGAATGATAATTGATAGTTTTTGATCAGTTATATGATCATTAATGATAAAGAAAAAGATTATTTCGATGAAGCTTTCGATAGAAGTCATTGTAAATTCTCGGTATTCTTAATACCGAGAAGAGACCGATTATATTTAATAATAATAATGTTACAATTAAAAGTGATTTTCGAACGATTCGGAAACGAAAGAATTAAAAAAAGGCGATCGATCTCGTTCGTGAATATCCGATTACACGAATATTCGAGACTTGTGTACCAGACTTAATATTTTGCGGCAGTTTGGGAAACGAAAGACGAGCGCGTGTTGTCAATCGCGACAGTGATAACGAAAATGGTGGACTAAAAAGCAATTTCATTTTCTTCACCTCCGTTTTTTCCCCAATTAACTTCAATAACAAATTTCCGTCTCATCATGCAACTTTCGAAACTCATTATTCAAAATTGATAGAATCAGAAAAAAAAAAATAAGTTACTGTTGCAAATAGTTAAAAATCCCTTTGCAATCTCGAAGAGAATCGAAGAAAATATTCAATGTAAGTAACATGAATTTCTCGTTACAAAAAATTATTATTTAAGCGTATAAATTGATAAAAATACCTTTGAATCTTCGACTCAAAATTTTACGTAATTTTTTTCTGAAATAAAATAATATCGATGTAATATCCACGAGATTCGAAGTTTTTTTTTCTTCCAAGTTGAATGCTCTCAATATAAAAAAATATATATATATAAATTCAAACGTGCAGAACACGCGAATTTCGTGTCAAAAATCGAACCAAAAATAAAAATCTCGAGGCACGAATGATAAAAAAAAAAATGAGACAACGAATATCATAGAACGAAAATACCGAATCTCTAGCATAATTTTCTTTGTATAATCCATCTTGAAGAGGCGGTTGGAGGAGAGAAAGAGAGAAAAAAAGAAAGAAAGAGAAAGAGATAGTCGCAGAATTGTTTTATCTCCCATTGGCGAGGAGATCTCTCTCTCGAAGAAGACGCCGAAAATGCTCGGTGGATAGAGAGGGAGAAAAAGATTGGTTGAAATCAAAGAAAATGGCCGCCCAGGAAGGCTCGAATAATCAACCTAGCGAACAAACGAACGATCAACCGAACGATCAACCGAATGGAAACACCGACTCTCGCACCGTGGCCACGCCAGATAATTTCGATTGCGCGCCCGATTGTGTCTCGCCCAATGACGAAGATCCAACTCTGATCGTGCGTAGTTAAATTACTCGACTCGTTAATAAACGAATCCTGTAGCCTATGATTATGTAGAATCATAGGCTATGGGATATAATATAAATTTTTTTTTTTTTTTTTTTTTTGGGATATTTTTTTTTTATTTTCCTTTTTTTTTTTTTTTTTTTTTTTTTTTGAAATTTTATATTTTAAATTTGTTTTTTTTTTTTTTTTTTTTTTTTTGAAATTTTATATTTTAAATTTGTTTTTTTTTTTTTTTTTTTTTTTTTGAAATTTTATATTTTAAATTTGTTTTTTTTTTTTTTTTTTTTTTTTTGAAATTTTATATTTTAAATTTGTTTTTTTTTTTTTTTTTTTTTTTTTGAAATTTTATATTTTAAATTTGTTTTTTTTTTTTTTTTTTTTTTTTTGAAATTTTATATTTTAAATTTGTTTTTTTTTTTTTTTTTTTTTTTTTCGAAAGATTTTTTGATGAGAAATCGTTCGAAAAAAGATCGACTCGAGACAGAGTTATTTTTTTCTTTTCTTTTTCAAAAAAAATTTTTTGAACGATATCGAAAAATTGACAAGAAGACGAGGAGAAAGGAAGGAGAAAAAGAAGAAAAAGATATTTTTCGAGATCATCGGTTTGTTGTTTTTTAATTTTTGAATGAAATCATTCGTAAAATGAGAAACACGAGACAGAGTCGTTTTTAAAAAAAAAAAATTCTCAGGACGAAAAATTGAAGAGAAGAAGAAACGGAAGAAGAAAAAAAGATATTTTTCCATGAATCTCGTGTTGAGAACACCGGTTTGTTGCTCGTTCGGAGTTAAAGTATGCACTTCGAAAGTATTTCGATTATGAAACACGAGATGAATTCCATCGACTGCGACGTGCGGGATATTCGGAGGGAGGGGGAGTTCGATGCGCCGATAAATACCGATTTTATCGAGAACAATCCCTCCAATCATCCCTCTTAAATTCTTATCTCCGAAAGTTTCGAAAATTGTGCCGCCGAAATCTTAGCTTTAAACTTTACTACGCACGATGAACGGAATAAAAAGAAAAATAATATCCGAACTTTTATATCTCCCTTTAACGTTTCTCTGTCGGCAAGCAAGAAAACTGCGATGTAAGCGTGGCAGGAAAAGGAAGGAAAATATAATATATGATATTTATATTCGATTTTAAAAGCCGTTTTTATTAATCATTCGCGCATTAAATTTCGAGAGAGAGAGAGAGAGAGAGAGAGAGAGAGAGAGAGAGAGAGAGAGAGAGAGAGA